CCAGAACAAGCACGACGATACGGGCCTTAGGAATATTGAGACTCGGGCAGGGGCTGTAGCTCAGTGGTGGAGCGCTTGCCTGGCACGTGTGGAGCACTGGGTTCGACCCCAGCACCACATAAAAATAAAGAAATAAAGATATTACRTCCGTGTACAACTAAAAACATTTATTTTTATTTAAAAAATTTTTTTAGTTGTAGTTGGACACAATATCTTTATTTTATTGATTTTTATGTGGTGCTGAGGATTGAACCCAGGGCCCCTACACACCCACCAAGTTTCAAGAAATGCAATAAATAAGCTTTAATGCACAAATGTTTCCCTGTAGCATTAATGATGACAGCAAAAATCTGAAAATAATTCAAATGTTCAGCAACAGGGGGATTTGGTTAAACAYTGGTGATATGTCCTCTGAATGGAATTATTAGCAATTGCAATATGGTGTCTGGACACAATGTATCTGATATGTCTGCCTCGTGGTTTGTCTTTCACTGTGCTACTGATATTAAACCGCAGAGTGCCATGTCCATTGGCAGCACCCATGTGCCATGAGTGTGACGGGAGTGGGAGGGGCAGGCATGGCTGCAAGGGTATTTTGTTTTTATGGTTTCTTMGTTTTTGCAGTGCTGGGACTGACCCCAGGGCCTTTTGCATGCTGAACACGGAGCCCCAACCCTGTGTTATTCTGTTTTTATTGTTTCTAAAAGGGTAGTTCAAATTTTTCAAATAAGCCAAAAGTGAAAACCAGGTATAGGGGCTGGGAGTTACAGTGATGGGGGGAGTGCATGCTAGCATGCAAGGCCCTGGGTTCAATCCCAGCCTGCAAAATCACCCATAACCATCAACGAGCCCCCCGCCCTCCAGCCTCTACCTAACTGCTCCCAGTCTTCTCCCCACGGGACTCACCAGGACTCTCTGCTCTGATCGTGCCTATACCTGGCAGAGGATGGCGAAGCACTAATAGGAGAATAACAAGTGGGATTATTTTTGTTTTTTTCCACCTGTCTGTAATTTTTAAGGTAAAAATAAAGTAAGACAAGAAGCCAGCCTTTCTGCCTCGCCTGTGTGTAGGGCGCATCCTCCATCTGGGTCCCCRGCTCGGCTGAGGGTAGCCCCTGTCCCTGTAGATCTTGGAGGCCTGTGGTTTGAGCAGGGTGTGTGAAGCAGTCAGCTGGGCAAAAATAAAATCAGCAAACTCCACACAAAAGAGAGGAATGCTTCAGTCAACACTGAAAAAGGGCTCAGGATTGAAACTCTTGATAACTGTTCTCAACTCATTTAAAAATCAGCATTAGCTACCAAAATGTAAAGTATTAGTTTTATTAAAATGCAAATCAATCAACTAATCTGTCTTTCTAGTAACAGTTGAATTGCAGTATCCGTGTCAATTAAAATAGTTTCCAATTTATTCTTGGCTGGAAGGAGGGTGGCCCTCTGCATTTTAAAATGCAAGCTCCCTTCAGTGAAAGCCTGTCAGTTCTTCTTTTTCATCTCTCCTGTTTTTAACTCATTTTAATTAAACTTGCTGGACTTCACGTATTTTGAAGTACCTGTTTAAGCCTTTCCCCCATCAGATGGAGAGCGACTTCTGTCTTTTGGAAATGTGGGTGAGCATCAGGCTCCCAGAAAGTTCCTCATGAAGAGTTACTTGCTGGCTGTTTTGTGTGTGTCCCAACATCCTTAGGCTAAGTGACAGGACTGGATGTTCTGTATTTTAAAGAGGGATCGTTTTGAAAGGGGTGAATGTGGGGACTCTCCTATTTCTGTTGATTGATCTTTGGGGTAAATGGGGACAAAATGAAGATGACGCATTTCCCTGATAGTCGAGTCCAAGAGGTGGCTGCTGAGACGGAGGTGGCTGCTGAGACAGAGGGACAAACCACCTGCACCGTGGGCCAAAAAGAAGGCGGAGAAACTCTCCTCTTTCCAATATGCCCTATCCTGAGCTCAGCTAACTGCAACATGGATTGCCTTCAAGATTCACTGTTTGGAGTTGTCTTCGAGCATCGAGCAGCAGTCCCTGCCCACCATGGCAATGACAGGTGGGATTCCCATGCCCAAAAATCTGTCRCTGCATTTTGAAATTTTAAAACAATATCAAAGCCTGACTTTACACAACTACACTCCGTCGCCTAACTTCAATACCTCTCTAAACYCAGAGCCTTACATGAAAAACTGGGGCAAAGGACCTGTGCTGTGAGGTGATCAGTGCCACGCGCGGGTCCACCCAGGCGCACATTACTTACGCAAAATGATCTTCATTGCATACTGACCACAGCAGGCCAATAAATCCCCTTTATGGGGATTTAATTTCCAGCTTTTGACCTTTGGATGAAAAACAAGTGAATCATCTCCTCCTGCTAGATTTACACCACAGCTAATCTCAATAAAGTGATTTAGGAATGGGTAGAATGGGAAAGGACCCTGGAAAAATCTTTGTAAGTGAAAAGACAAAACAAAAGAGAAGTCAGAGCAACAAATTCGCACATATCCAAGTTCCAAAGTCTCATGGGCAAAGCTTATGTTTGGGGGGGATTCCATGTTCTAAGAGTCCTAATAAACCAGCGAACATACACCCATGTAGCATTCTGCCCCAGAATTCTTTCTTTTGTGAAGTTCTTTAAAAATGAATATATATTTTTTCAGTTTGAGATCAAACCCCRGGCCTCATGAACACCAGGCAAGTGCTCTACCCCTRAGCCCCATTCCCATTCCAAAATTAATCTTATTATCATTTTGCAGTTCTAGTGATTAACTCGGGGCTTCACACGTGCTAGTCAAGTGCTCTGCCGATGAGCTCCATCCCCAGTACTTTTTATTTTTTTGAGACAGGTTCTTGCTAAATTGCCCAGGCAGGCTGACCTCCAATTTTTGATCCTCCTGCCTCAGCCTCCCAGTGGTTGGGATTATAGGCACACACCACCATTACCCAGCACCAAAATTAATATTGTTCTTAACTGAAAAATCCTAATTGTATACATTGAGTAAAATGTGATATTTAACGCAGGTATACAATGAGGGATGACTGAATCAAGCTATTTGGCAAATCTACCACTTGCCTTGCTTATCATTTCTTTGTGGGGAGAAGCTTGAAATTTACTTATTTTGAAATATGGCATATGTTATTAATGACCATAGTYACTCTGCTRTGTGATAGATCTCAAAAATTATTCYGCCTGATGCTTTGTACCCTTTGACCAATAATCTCCCCAGTCTGTCCTCCAGCCGCCCCCCACCCCCCCAGCCTCTGGTGACCAACATTCTACTCTTTACTTCTGAGTTCATCTTTTTTAGATTCCACATGAAGTCATGTGGTATGTCTTTCTGTGCCCAGCTTATTCAGCTTGGTATAATATCCTCCAGGTTCATCTATGTTGTCACAAATGACAGAATTTCCTTCTTTTWAAAAGCTGAATAGTATTCCATTGTGTATATAGGCCTCATTGTATTTATCCAACCATCCACAGGAAATTCAAACAACTCAACAGCAAAAAGACAAATAACCTTTTAAAAAAATGGACAAAGGACATGAACAGAAATCTCTCAGAAGAAGATACACGAAACTCTAACAGACTCATTAAGAAATGCTCAGCATTACTAATCCTTAGGGAAATGCAAATTAAAACCACACTGAGAAGTGAGAAGCTGAGGCAGGAGGATCTCAAATTTGAAGCTACCCTGGGTGACTTAGTGAGGCCCTAAGTTGAGGGCGTAGTTCGGTGATAGGATGCCCTGCTTCAGTCGGCAATTCAGGGGGAAGTAAAGAAAAGTGACCCAGACATGTGATATATGTTGTCATGAAACAAATGAGGCACATAGCCATCCTGGCCCTCCAGACGTGAATAATCTGATGGGGAAAATAAGACTTCATATTGGCAGACAAGACAGGAAAGACTGGGGACATTGAAAGGATAATAGGAGGCAAGTAGAAAATGCAAATAAATCAAAGAAACACAACAAGATGAAAAGTAGAGACTAAAATGATGCAGGGCTCAGAGTGTGTGTGGGGGGGAGGAGGCACTGCCTGCTCTGCCTGAGGCCCTGGGTGCTACCCCTGAACTGGAAAAGCCCAAAACCCACACTGAAATATCACCCCATACTTGTTTTTTTTTTTTGAGAATTTTAACATTTATTTATTTTTTCTTAGTTCTCGGCGGACACAACATCTCCGTTTGTATGTGGTGCTGAGGATCGAACCCGGGCCGCACGCACGCTAGGCGAGCGCGCTACCGCTTGAGCCACATCCCCAGCCCCCACCCCATACCTGTTAATTTGCTGTTATCAAGAAGATGAAAGATAACAAGTGTTGGCAAAAATGGGGAGAAAAGGGAGCCCTTCCACTCTTTTGATGGGCATGTAAAKTAGCATAGCCATTATGGGGACAGAAGAGGTCTCAAGAAACTTAAATAGGGCTGGGGTACAGCTCAGTAACGGAGTGCATGCTCGGCATATGGAGGCTCTGCATCTGAGCCCAGCACCACACACACACAAACACACCCCTCACCAAAGCCCAGGAAAAACAGACCTCCTATGACTAGCGAGCCCACTTCTGGGTATAGACTCAAAAGACATTTTGAAGGGAGCCAGCTGTGATGGCGAATGCCTGTGATCCCAGCTGTTCAGGAGGCGGAGGCAGGCAGTTTGGGAGTTTAGAACAGGCCAGCAACTGTGAGGCCGTCTCTCAAAATAAAAAATGAGAACYGAGAATACAGCTCGGCGATTGCCTAGCATGCACCAAGGTCCTGGGTTCAATCCCTAGTACTGCAAAAGAAGAAAAAAAAAAGTTGAAAGGACATCTGCACGTCCATGCTCACCACAGCATTACTCACAACAGCCCCAAACCAGAMACCACCTAAGGGTCCATTAGGACGWATGGGCTTATATTGCAAGAGGGGGCCKTTTAACTAGGAAAAAATAAAACCCTCCCAACAAAGGAGTCTTCCTGCTACAGACCTAAATCACACTTACTGTGTGCTGCTTAAGAAATCACACGTGGCAGCAGCAGTGACAATARTCTTTATTTGTGATGGTTAAAGGACACGGGGAGGTGCCCTTGCAGGCACTAGGCACACGTTCCTGGCAGAGCACCTTCCCAGGGATTCCCTGGCAGCTCAGCCCCATGGAATCACAGCTGCCTCCTGGGTGAGCAGCYGGCAGGACTGGCGGGGTGCAGGGAGGCCCAGGGCAAAGGAGACAGCGACCACGTCAATCCCCAAGGCCAGCGTCAGGAGGGTTGAGCTGGCCAAAAAGAGATCGATACAACTCTGTCCTAGAAGACAAACAAAACAAATTGGTTAACACACCAGTTAACTTCTCAAGGTTAAAAGAAACTAAGAAGCTGGGAAATACTCTCATCTGCTCCTTCCATTGAAAACACAGCCATGTAATTAAAAAATGCACCTCACAGCTCTTATTCACAAATACAACGAGAGGAAGAAATCCAGACACAGCCAATCAAATAGTAAAATATGTAAACAGTCCAGTGTGCCTGGATACCCTGTCTCTAGGGAATGAGTTTTCTCTAAGTCTGCCCTTTACAGACAGGCTCTTCAAGTAAGAAAACAAGATTGAATATTTTAATAGGATGTATGAGACGGCCACGCCATGAGGAGGATTCAATCAGACATGGGATGTAGGGGGATATAATTTAGTTTTCATACATTTTCTTGGACTTGGCAGTACTTGAAAAACAATGAAAATGACCCAGCAACAAGATTCCAATTACTAACACATGTGCAGTGGTTCAGGCGTAGACCCAAGACCTTCCCCATTCCCCGGCAGCTTCTCTAGTCTCAATCTAATAAATAATTTGATTGGCTAATTTATTTCAAAAGTTGGGTTTTGACATTTTTAAAACTCCTAAGATGTCAGTCTTGGGTTCCTGAAAATACAGTCAATCACCACACCCAACCTCTGTCTCTGTTACTAAGTGCAACACATACACATCTGGCCAAAGCCATCTGCCAAGGACTGGAAAATCTCAAGGGTGTGTGTGGAGGGACCCTGCCCATTGCAGGATGGACGCTGCAGGGCCCTCTCCCCTGTGCATACCATGCAGCTCTCCCTACAGTCAGGAGGGGCCTCGAGGCTCCAAGCAAGTGGGACCCATTTGAGATGAGAGGGCCCCAGGGACACAGTCAACTGAGGCAGGCACCCAGCTGACCAGGGAGTCAGCAGCCCGGTAAAAGGCCATGGCAGCTCTGATATTTTCAGATCTGACTAAAAATACTGTCTGCCATCTTGTCAAGAAATAGGCTTTTAAAAGTGCTGAGAGCCATCACTGGCAAACCTGACATTACAAACAAAAACCTCCATCGTTCAACAGCTCTTTTTCACAAGAATTCAACCCAAAAATTCATTAGTCTTTTTTTAAAGTTACCCTGTTTTTAGTGACGGAGAGGAACAGAAGCACCATAATCAGGACATGGGAGATGGGAATGGCATACCAAAGCCTTAAGAAAGTGAAAACCTTAAAGAAGAAAACAGAAATCTAAACTAGCCTTTCATATTGGGGAGCCACAGGGAGGCAGGGAGCGCATGGGTTAGAAAACAGCAGGTCCCAGTTTTACTACTGCCATTTTACGGCGAGTATTTGCTGCCACCCTTCCCAGCCCCACGGCCTGCAGACAAAGAGCAAGCTCACCCTGAGCTCCAGCCTCTTTTGTTCCCTGCCACACACATCTGTCTGCCTAGCTCTCCACAGCCCAGACAGCCCTACAAAGGTGAAGAGCGGCCTCAGCCCAAATGCAAATGAGTGCAGGCAGCTCCCCTCCCGGCCGCCAGCTCCATCACAGGAGAGCAGCGAGGCCCTGCCGGCCTCACTTCATCACGCTCGGGGCCTGCCTATTTGCCAATAAAACAAGTCTCACTAGCCATTTCAACAACAAAAAAATTAAACGGCATGAAGGGGAGAGTTGCCATGACAGAAAGGACAGTATGACTTTAAGAGGACACGGGCTGATGAGAGGGAGAAGCGGAGGCGCAGTGCTATTTAGCCTTCAAGCCACCCCCTTTCCAGCCTCGCCTTGCTTGCCTGCACCAGACCCCATCATTACCCCCAGCAAATGCTTCCATTCTGCGCCGCAATAGCAGTGCAACGCCAGGGCCGAAGGCAGCAGTTACTGTCCGCAGCGGGGTTCACGTGTCAGGAGCAGAGAGTGAAATGCTGAACCCATGTTTTGATGGAACATCATTTCACACTCAGGTGCGCAAAGCTGACAAACATATGCAGCTGCTCGTGGCAGAGCAACCTGGGAAGCTGAGTGGTCTGGGTTCTTMAAATATTTTGAGAGAGAGATGGAGAATACAAATAAGGGATCATTCCAATCTAAACACCCTCAAGCAATTTCAACTTGACGTCTTCCTCGCCCACTACCCACCAGCCAGCGGCCACGTGCACCTGCAAAGCACCCAAGCCCTGCTGCCCTCTAGGCCCCCACTATTTCAGATCACACCATCCCTCACCAAGAGCAATGCGATGGCCTCCTGCTGCCTCTGGTGCTTCCGGCTCCTCCCTGGGCCCCAGCTCTAGAGGCAGACCAAGCAAGCCCTCCTTGGGGACCAGGAGCAGCTCCAGATAAGGACCGGCCTAGACTCCAGCTGCTGACTCAGCCCAGCCCTTCTCATCACATCCAAGGTTCAAGACTTTGCATTCCTAGGTGGTCATGCACGCTGGGAGGACAGAGCCCAAGAGTCGGAAAACAGTTTTTACAAAACTTCTCACCCCTCACACATTCTAAGTTGCTATATGAAATTTTTCACAGCAAATTTACATAGTCACAAAGAATATAATTATGAGAAAGCTCTAATTATTAACTTTTAAAAGTCATGACCCTTTTGTAATGCTCCCAATGGAACCTCTATGCCACAGTGACTGGATACCCATTATCATTTATTTAAATAACACATAATCAAACCCTCTAACTTAGAAATTTTACAGCATCTTTTTTTCAAAAACAGGTTGACATTTCCACTTGACTTTTCCCTATAGATTTTTGTTGTAATATAATTGTTCTTTCATTGATTAYCCTATTATATTTTTTGGCCACAAAAATAAGTAAATGGAAAACATCTGAAATTTTCAAAATTTAAAATATAAAAATGAAAATATTTTAATTTCTTGAGACAAGTCTTCAATTAATTGAAATTCTGTTCTGGATTGGTTTATGCTTACAATTATTATTAGGATACAATCTATATATATATTAACAATACTAACAGTGTATTATAATTTTAGTGAAAATTTAATATAAATGTATAAAGTGTACTGGAATCACATTTCTTAATGCATATGAACGAAGCTTTCCCTGTTGAGTGTTCATGGATCTATGGGTGAATATCACTATCATTAGAATGAAAAAGGGCTCAGCATCAACTGTAGTCTTATTTTTTGTAGATGTATGTCCTGAGAAATCCTGTCATATGAACAAGCAGAAAAGAATGGGATTTTTTTTTTCTTTTTAATTTTTAATGTACTGAGGATTGAACCCAGGAGTACTCTACCACTGAGTTATATCCCCGGCCCTTTTTATATTATTTTGAGACAGGGTCTCACTAAGTTGCCCCGGTCAGCCTTGAACTCCTCCTGCCTTAGTCTCCATATAGTTGGGATTACAGGCATGCCACT